TATATTTTATCATTATATATATATATATATATATATATATATATTCATTTTTTATAATTAGATATATTTAATTTAATTGTATGTGTTTAATTAATACATATTATATAGATAAATATATATATATCAAAAAATATATAAATATATATAAATATATATATCATATATTTTTAATTATTATAAAAATATATTTATACTTATCTATATAATATACATTAATTAAACACATACAATTAAATTAAACATATATAATTATAAAAAAAGAATACCATTATCGAAATATGTACATGAAAATTTGTAGAACGATTCCAATGATCAATATTTGACGATCTCATCTACAAACGAAAATGATTCTTCCGCGTGCGAATTGAAAATCGGTCGAGTAGAAAAACAGCTCACGAAATATTCGATATTATTCTTGTTTCAGTTCTGAACGAGCTCGAGGGGTTGGCCAGGGGTGCGGATGCCAGAGACTGTCCTCCAGCCTCGAAGGCGGCTCTGGACCCTGAGCACGTGGCCAGGGTGGCTGAGAGTGCGAAAGCGGCTCTGGCCTTCGCCAGAAGCAGAAATCCAGCTATCCGGTGCTTAACCACAAGAGGAACTGTCCTCACATCTAGCACTTTCACCGTCGAGGAGGATGTTGACAAGGTAAGGAGATCGTAGTTACCTTACAAAGTAGACTTACCGAGACTTTGCATAAGGGGATGTTTCCGAGGCCGCGGTCCTAGGAAACTCCGTATTTCCTTAATGGAATGAGACATCTCTGTACACACGGAGACCGTGTGATCTGTATGTTTTTATAGCGATTTCGTCCATTTCTGAACATTGCGTATGCAAAATTCTGTTTTCGCAATCGAAATATCTCGCGCGATTGCTGCTCGCGTGTGCTACCACTTTGTGTGGTATTTATTTATATATTTATTTATTAATGCTTTAAACCAGATGGTTAATTAGCAAATGCATCGTTGTTGCATTTGCATATGTTCGATATTACTGTTAGACGAGATATTGTCTAAGAAAATTTAATCAACGTCTATGTTCGTGCATAAAACTAGTGCGAAGTTTTATACACTGTGTAAAAACTTTTCAAAGTTTGTTACACACAGATTGTGAATTTTTTGCATTTATAACAATTATTGAAAGAGAAATAACACTTTCAACTAACTGAAGTTATTTTTATAGTTTACTTACACGTTAGATTATTCGTTGTCTACTTGTTGCAATAGACTGTTCGATTTTTTAACACTGCTTAAGCAAGAAATAAATGTTTGTTTAACTTCTGTTTTCCACGAACGATGCCTATACTATCAATTTTGCACAGAGAACCACAATCTAAATCAGACTAAGATCAAAATACGACTCGTTTCCTTCGATCCGCGTTTCCCTATGAATTCTTGATATATAAATGCAATTTTTTAAAAAAGCGTCTTCTGATCGAATAGACTCGACTTATGAAAATTTACACGAATATCCGCGCAATTCATAGCCATGCAATACTCGCGATAGATGACAAAGGCACAGAATTCTGAGAACGTTCTTCTCGGCGAAATATGACGCTGTCAATCCACAATAAGACTATGAAAGTCGCGTAATAAAAATTCGACGTTTCATACGCTCAATCCTATTGCATTCACATATCGAAGAGTCGCTGGTTCACAGAGACAACACGCAAGGTAGAAGCCAGCATGATTCAACATGAAAAATTCCTACACTTCCTCGTTTTTCACCTAGAATCACCCTCTCCCGGTTGCGTCACCGATGCTAGGACACCCCTTGCTTCTCGAATGAGAAAATTGAAGAATTTCGGTCCATCGTGCGCGCGCGCGCGGAAATTTGAGAACGCGTTCGAACCGTGGCGGGCAAGATCGATGCCCGAGCACAGCGAAGAACGCGAGTGCAAGGATTTTGAGCGTTGCTCATCGATGCACGAATGTTATGATAAGAGTTGGTGCATCCGAGAACCCCCACGTGGCCCTGTGATAAACCGTTCTCGCGGCGTGGCAACTTCTGGCGCAGCACGCATCTCGGGCTGGCGCCTTATCTGGCCGGCAACACGCAGGATACACGGGTCGGATAGGATCGTAACAGGAACCTTGATCTGTCAAACGATAGATAACGCTCGCGCTCCGAGCTCGTTAGATTTTATTCTCCTCCATTCTGCGTTCCCGGTGTCGCCTTTTCCTTTTCCTCTTCCGCGTCGCTTCTCCCACCGTTCTCACACTCATCATCCGCCGGAAGAGAGAGAGAGAGAGAGAGAACGAGAGAGAGAGAGCGAGAGAGAGCAAGAGAGAGAGAGCGCAAGAGCGAGGGAGAGCGCGAGAGCGAGAGAGAGCGCGAGAGCGAGAGAGGGCGAAAGAGAGAGCGCGAGAGAGAGATCGCGAGAGCGAAAGAGAGAGCGCGAGAGCGAGAGAGAGCGCGATAGCGAGAAAGAGAGCGAGAGAGAGCGCGAGAGCGAGAAAGAGAGCGAGAGAGAGCGAGAGAGCGAAAGAGAGAGAGCGCGAGAGCGAGAGAGCGAAAGAGAGAGAGAGCGCGCGGGAGAGAGATCGCGAGAGCGAGGGAGAGCGAAAGAGAGAGCGAAAGAGGGAGCGCGAGAGCGAGTTTCTCGTCTTCGTTTCTCGTCTTCCCTCTGGGCCCTTCGCGTCCCTTCGCATCCCATCGCTTCCCTTCGCTTCCCTTCGCTTCCCTTCGCTTCCTCGGGAACCCGAAACTTTCCCGGCGATGCGTTAACGTTCGTGAGCTGACTCGAGGGACAATCAGACCTCCATTCTCTAGACCCTTGATTGCCATAAATAGTCATTCGCCGGTGTTCCTTTGCGAGTCGCGAGACGACTGACCTTGAGCAGCCTGCCAAGATCGCTGGCGCCGCAGTCTGGGTTTGGTAATTGTCAGCTTCCCGGGTGAATACCAATTTGTTGATTATTATGCGGACGGTCTCGGACGTTTTCAAACGGTTGACTTTTGAACCGCGTGTCCGGGCTGCCAGCACCGTTTCAAACCGTTTCGAAACGAATCTCTTGTGGAATATCTCTTGCGTTTTCTTTTTTTTTCGAAAAATATAGCGGTAACCGGTTCGTCTCCTGTATCTGATTTTGTACGACGTTCCTCTAAGTATTAATGCTTGATCACTCGAACCTTGTCGTCTTTCTTCTTTTTTTATTTCTTTTGTGTCTTTTTTATACTTTTTTTTATTAAACAATCTTCACGGTGACTCTTTTCATCCGTGTATGCATTATTTGTCGAAAGCGAGTATGAAAAACAGGAATCAAATATATTCACGTTAAATTGTGATGCAATTCTTTATCTGTGCGACAGAACTATAGTTCAATGGAGCCACACTGTTGGAAAAGTTTAACGATTAGTACTTATAGCATATGTTGTGCGAACGAAAATATCACATCAGCGACACGTGAAAGCAAAATAGTCGTGAAATGCATCAACAATTTAGTTCATTGGGATATGGGAAGGAGGAGGAGGGAAGTGAAGTTAGGATACGTTACAAAAGAAATGAAGATTTTTAGAGATACAGTAAATTCTCCCTAATTGACGCGCAGCTTGGAAACAAGAATGGTCAGTATGAGAAGAGGAGATACAATTTTTCGAGCCTTACGGCTCGTTCTTATAGTTCTCGACAATCGATAATTACAGAGTATCACATAATTATGTTAACACCCGGAGAGGAGTGATTCCTGAGGTGATTTGAAGTAACTTTTCCCTTAGCGAAAATGCAATCCGCGGCTTCCTTTACGAGTTATCAACGAAAAACACTGACCAATCGGAGTTCCGCCAGAGTACGGCCGATGCCCCGCCCTGGCAACCAGTACCGCTGCGTCAGACGGCTGGCGCGACGCGGCATTGGCCGCAAGGGCGGAGCGCCGGACGCACTCGCTCTCCGATTGGTCAACGTTTTTCGTTAATAACTCCTAAACGAAGTCGCGGNACTCGAGGGACAATCAGACCTCCATTCTCTAGACCCTTGATTGCCATAAATAGTCATTCGCCGGTGTTCCTTTGCGAGTCGCGAGACGACTGACCTTGAGCAGCCTGCCAAGATCGCTGGCGCCGCAGTCTGGGTTTGGTAATTGTCAGCTTCCCGGGTGAATACCAATTTGTTGATTATTATGCGGACGGTCTCGGACGTTTTCAAACGGTTGACTTTTGAACCGCGTGTCCGGGCTGCCAGCACCGTTTCAAACCGTTTCGAAACGAATCTCTTGTGGAATATCTCTTGCGTTTTCTTTTTTTTTCGAAAAATATAGCGGTAACCGGTTCGTCTCCTGTATCTGATTTTGTACGACGTTCCTCTAAGTATTAATGCTTGATCACTCGAACCTTGTCGTCTTTCTTCTTTTTTTATTTCTTTTGTGTCTTTTTTATACTTTTTTTTATTAAACAATCTTCACGGTGACTCTTTTCATCCGTGTATGCATTATTTGTCGAAAGCGAGTATGAAAAACAGGAATCAAATATATTCACGTTAAATTGTGATGCAATTCTTTATCTGTGCGACAGAACTATAGTTCAATGGAGCCACACTGTTGGAAAAGTTTAACGATTAGTACTTATAGCATATGTTGTGCGAACGAAAATATCACATCAGCGACACGTGAAAGCAAAATAGTCGTGAAATGCATCAACAATTTAGTTCATTGGGATATGGGAAGGAGGAGGAGGGAAGTGAAGTTAGGATACGTTACAAAAGAAATGAAGATTTTTAGAGATACAGTAAATTCTCCCTAATTGACGCGCAGCTTGGAAACAAGAATGGTCAGTATGAGAAGAGGAGATACAATTTTTCGAGCCTTACGGCTCGTTCTTATAGTTCTCGACAATCGATAATTACAGAGTATCACATAATTATGTTAACACCCGGAGAGGAGTGATTCCTGAGGTGATTTGAAGTAACTTTTCCCTTAGCGAAAATGCAATCCGCGGCTTCCTTTACGAGTTATCAACGAAAAACACTGACCAATCGGAGTTCCGCCAGAGTACGGCCGATGCCCCGCCCTGGCAACCAGTACCGCTGCGTCAGACGGCTGGCGCGACGCGGCATTGGCCGCAAGGGCGGAGCGCCGGACGCACTCGCTCTCCGATTGGTCAACGTTTTTCGTTAATAACTCCTAAACGAAGTCGCGGATTGCATTTTCGCTAAGGAAAAAGTTACTTCAAATGACCTCAGGATTCGAATAATAGTATCTCCCCTTCCCGGGGAGAATTTACTGTATTTCGTAATAACAATGCTGACGATCACTACCGTTACACCATGCACCTCGAAATATCAGAATTAATAGAACGAATATGCAGAATCTGCAAATCGCGGAGACTCGCATACAAACGGTGTCCTCTGTTCGCGAGAAAAAAAACGTAACGCGACGTTTTACTCGCATTGTCCCCCAAATAGAAATGGTTCCCGGACACACGGGCTAGCTAGCCATTAAGATTCGCGCAAAGCCGACGCGTGCCATTTCGCAAATAATAAAGCACCGTCCGCGATTCTGTTGCAGGACGGGTCGACAAGAAACGATGACAGAATACTGGCTACGTGCTTGAGCCTCTGCAAAACGGGTAACAAAGATCAGGCGAACGCAGGTAAGTACGGAGGAAGGGAGCAGCCCGACACGTTTCTGGCCGCGGTGTATAACGTACGCCGGCCGCGTTTCAACGTTTCCTACGGGCTCTGATAGTGATTAATACCGGGCCGATTGTAATTCTCGTTTACACGCGGATTAACCGTTATCGCGAAGGGGGTAGCGCGCGTTGCGTTGCCTTGCCGGAGCCGGCGCCCGTTCAGTTTTTATCAGCCGCTATCGCGGTGGCATTTATCAGCCGGCGTACTACTAATTATTCGCTTCTTCCTGGCCGCGAGAACGACACCTAATGGAATTAGCGTTCCCGGGAGCCGCCGCGGCTAATTGATAACGCGTTAATTGACGATTTATTCGCGATTCGGCTCCCGGCAGGTTGATAAAACGCGCGACGCGGGAACGGTTGTGGGAACGAGCTTTTTTTTTATCGGACCGTAGGGGAGCCTCGATCGTCCGAGCCTCTGATAACCGAACTCGATATTATCCAGTTTCACGTGCAAGTAACTCAATCGATGGCGATCCAACCAACTTTGGCTGACGATAACTCCGCGAGAAATCATCGTAAAGTCGTGACTTTTTTTTTAAATGGAAGCTTGAAATCTCTACTTGAAGATAGCGTTCCCCGATTCTAAGCTCGATGCGCCCTCACCACTGTAACCCTTTGAATGCGAGACCATGTTTGTCGTATTAAAAATTGCCGTGTTTGACGAAATTTGTAGAATTTTTAAAGATTTGTAAAATTTTTTCGGAGCTGCCGTTTGCAGCCGAACGAAGCTTGATCCTTCTACTTTAATTAAAAAATCGGCTGCGATTTTTTTTCGCATAGTTGCAGCAGTTTGAGGCAACCCTTGTAATTAAGAAGTGGTGAGGATGCGTCGGGCGTATAAAGATAGCCGTAAGGAACTCGTTTAAAAGCTTTAAAAGCAGGAAGAAAAAGCAGAATAGTTTCGTTTAAACAGATTAGGCTACAGAGGACACGAAATTGATCGCACAGAGATAGTCGTGAGCAGGGCTTGGATGAAACTGTTAAAATATTCAATTGGTTCTCACCTAACAGTTATTTTTCGACTTGTAACTGTTCCGTTCGACGAAAACAGTTATAAATGCATTGAAACTTTTATTTCGTATATTTATACGTGGACGGATAATTTGTACTTTATTCGGAAATGGGGAAAAATTGTAATTGGACAGTTATTCTGCTGTGAAAATGTTAAAAACAATGGTTCTTTATACTTCCCGATTTTCCTTTCGATGTAAACGTACGATAAAATAAGCACAGAAAAATCACTATTTGCACAACAACTAACATTTATCCAGTATCCGTTTCCTTGAGTAATAACTTTGAATATTTTATTCTAAAATATCTGTCAAGAAATAAACGATGCTTCAGCATTTTGATCAATCGAATACAAAATAACTGTTAAAATAGAACTTCAACAACAGAATCGCCAACGTCGAAGTTAACTTGAAACAGAAAAAGGAATAATTCGGAATTTAACCTTTTCGCACTCGAGGCCATTCTATTTCTAAGTCTAAAATACTTTCTCAGTTACTATGACCCGCAGCATTTCCATTTTATACGATCCAGTCCATTTTATGCATGCGAAATTCAGTCTTGCGACTCTTACGGCAGTTTTAAAAATATAAACAAATTCGACAATGTGAGAAATGACTTTAAAACGCGACCTAACAATTTTTAGCGATGCCTCGCAGTCACGACCGGAGTGCAAAAGGTTAAAGGATCCCTAAGCGACTTCCATTAATAAAAGTTTACAGTCGAATTCGAGCCCTGGTCGCGAGGACTGCTCGAAAACGTGAGATCGTGCGTCATTCGTAGATCGGAATCTGGAACGGTCCGGAACAGATCGTCCGAAGTTAGACAGAAACGAAACCGTTCCCACGCGTAACAAAACCCGATCGATCCCGGCTGACCCCGGACGATTCCTGTGTGCCAACAGAGGAGAGCCAGCCGAGGCGTCTGCGGCGAGAGGTGGTCCTTTTAACGGAGGACAGGAACCTGAGGGTGAAGGCCCTGGCGAGAGACGTTCCTGTCAGAGAGGTGCCCGACTTCATGCAATGGGCCGGCCTCGGCTGAGACGTTTCATCAACCAGACCCACCCGTTAACGAAAAATCTCCCGTTACCCCCGCCGAGAAAATTTCGACCAGCAAACAACCCGCAGCAGCAGCCGCAGCCGCAACAAGAACCAGCAAGACCAAAAGCACAGCGCGGAAGACAGACAAAGAGGAAGGAGATATAGAACCAGATAGATAGATAGAAAGGGAGAAAGAGAGAGAGGGTGAGAGAGAGGGAGAGAGAGAGAGTTTGACGGATGAAGTAAGGAAATAAAAAAGAGGATGTCTCGCGAGTAGATGTCATCGCGCTCTCCCAATCGTGGCCGATCAGCCGTCACGTAAGTTCGTCCCGATTGTCGAGGTGGCTAGCTTATTCTTATCTGCGCGACGGCGATGATGACGACGATGACGACGATGAGGCGGCGTCGCGTTTTTTTCCACGACAAATGTTACTTACCTTCGAGCGCGAACCACAAGGAGAGAGAAAGAGAGGGAGACCACGGATCGTAGGAATCGTACGCGAGACAGGCGGCGAATGGTCTCTTCTACGAAACGAGAGGATCGGCTCTCGAGGGCTGCGAGATCATCTCGGCTCTGCGAGACGGTTCCCATCCCTCGAGTCGGAGGCTAGGCCGCCGGGGCTGAGGCTCCTTTCGCGCGAAACACAGCGGAAATTCGGTGACAGGCGACGAACGGTTAGTTAATGATGGACAGGAGAAACGGTGACTGAGCGGTGAGATGGCGAGAAGAGAGTTGCGAGATTAGAGAAAGCGATGAGAGAGAGAGAGAGAGAGAGAGAGAGAGGGTGACAGAGAGACAGAGGAAGAGAGAGAGGCGTCGGTATTTTTACACGTAACGAATATTTTTTGGTTGATTTTATCGACGACGGCCCGCCCCCGCGGACTCGTCCTTTTTTTGTGTACCTTCCTTTTATCATGTTTGTAACGATCTACACACGTATACACATATATATATCTACATGTATATATTTGTACGCACTTTTGAATATTGTATAGGCCGTATGCGGTCGTTGGAGGATGCGCACGGAATCCGGTGTATACGTCCGCGTGTTGTTTGCCCTTTCCTTTTTTGTTCTCTTTTATTTGTTTCCTTTCCTCCCCCCACCCCTGCCCTTTTTTCTTTGTTCTTTTAATGCCGTCCTTAGCGAACCTCGTACCGAATGGTTCTCGGATCAACGTTCCTTTCGTCGATTTATCTTTCGGCCTTTATCTTTTCGCGCGACCGTTTTCGAGCTCTGCGAAGCAGTTTTTCCTGGTTTTTAATCGTTTTCATCCGCGCGCGCGCCGTTTGCTCCAATTCTCGCGATCGGTCTCCGTTTCGTGGACGTTCTTCTAGCTTTCCTTTTCTTTGGTTTTAAACCCCTCGCGGACAACTCACGGATCGACGGCCGCGAATCATGGATTCGCCACAGTCGAATTCGCACGATCCGGAATCGTGGGCACTTTTGAAACGAGACGCGGCTTCGACCGATGAAGCAAGCTTTCGTCGCGCCATTTCATTGTTGTGTTCAGATGGCTGAAGGAGGTATCGGTGTGTCCCCCCGAGTAAACCGACGACAGATCGAGTAATCCACACTATTCGGCCCGAAGCCTGTGCTCTCGCTAGGCGACGACAGGTGACATCGGGCGCACGTTTTTCTCGAACAGCGTGAACGCGTGTCGGATTCGATTGCTATCGTTGTTAGTGGTGATTTACTCGTCGATACACTTAGTATTATTTATTTATCGAGTAGCCGAATGTTCCACCGTTTACTCATCGAATTATCGAAGCGATACTCAGGTTTTTTCTTCAGACTAGCAACATTCGTCTCCAAGACATGCTTATAAATCGTTTCGGCATCGCTCGCATGAATGCTGCGAACGCCGGTTGGTTTTTAACGTAATTAAGGTAATTTGCCCGATTGCTTTTACGCGAGAACATAGATCAAACGTGACGAAATATAACATAAAATAGTCCCTAAGCTGCGTTTTAAAGTAAATCACCGTACAATATAGTCATTTTAACAGCCGATTTCGTCGAGATTGGAATCCCGAGCGATCGCCCCGGATCGTCAAACTGCCACGTAGACTTTTATTTTCTTTCCTTCTTTCTTTCTTTCAACAACGTCTGAACATCGAACGCGAAAGCTTAGAAGAACCCCTCGATCCGTGAGCCGTCGACGAGAACAGTTTTAAATACTCTTTTATAGTGATTTACACGCCGTAGGCGTGTCAGAGCCGTACAAGGAGGACGCATCTTTTACTGCACAAAACAGAGCGGCAGCATTTTAAACGAGCACGAGTTCACGCGTTCGAAATGGAATCAATTTGACGACAATTTGCCGACGAGTTTCGGAGCCATGACGTACGAGGTCCGAGAAGATCCTCGACGTTCTCCCGGCGATTGCGCGCGTGTCCTTGCCCAGCACGGACGCGACCGCGCGAATTTTCCATCGTGATGACACACGTGACACGTCGGACACGGGAACGTGGCCACCGCGAGACCCGAAATGTCGCTAATTACGGTAAATTCTCCGCAATTCGCGCTCAAATTCTGCACAAAAATGGGCAATTTCGAAAGGGGAGACGCGACTATTCGAGCTTCGCGGCTCGTTTTTGTAGTCACCGATTAAGAAACAACGATGAAAAACGACCTGCGAGAGGCTCGAACAATCGTATCTGCTCTTCCAAAATCGTCGATTTTTGTGCACAGTCTGAGCGCGAATTAGGGAGCAGTAATCTCGCGCGGCGAGACACGGTTCCTTTTCGTCGGCGACGTTCACGCCATCTTGTCGGAAGCTGGCGTTCTTGGCCGGCCATATTGGCGCACGCTGGGAACATCATTTCTCCTCATTCTTTCCAAACACAAGGTCAGTTTCTCAGATTTTTGCTGTAAAGTGAATGAAATTACCTTGTTAAATTCGGCGTTATTTGTCCGCCGTGTTGAAATTCACAGTATTCCAATTTTCTCGGTGACATTATACTCCCTTTCTTTGAATCGTTACGCAAGTATCGTTTGATCAGTGAAATTCAGAATGTTGTCTTCAATTTCGCAACGTTAGATTCGTCGATTATGATATATTTCTCGACGGCCATTATCGATGTCCTCGAGGCTGGCACCGAATGTTTCAACGATTAAATTAGCTTTCATATTGATCTAGATTTTTTGCAATGAATTCAGATTTTCCGATCTATTACCATCGCTCTATTGCCATTAGATCGCTACAATTTCGGCCGTTTCGGTGAGAACCAAAATGGCGTCCGCGCAGCCGACGGCATTTTCGAGCCGCAAACGCCATTTCGCGACTAACGCTGGCCGGTCGTCGGCGAACCAGCGCATGCACGAGGATTACGCAATTCCCAATTAACGCTTAATAATCGAGATCGACGATTGCGGTCGTTGCACGACTGTCCTTTCGTCGATCAGAGAAATGCGTACACCGTTGATAGAGTTCACAGGCTTCGAGTATCGGAACGGAAATCGCGACAGATTCTCAAGATCGAATTGCAGAACGGTTTTTCGAATTTTCCGGCGAGAACCTTCGTTTCTTCATCCTCCGCGATCCACACTTTTCCCGTAATCCTCTCGAGTACGCCGTCATTATCGATCGTCTATCGAACTCGAATAACTCGGCGTAAATGACACGTTACTAATAAAATGTCGGAATTATACGCGCACGTTATATACATAGGGATACAGTTTTCAAGGTCACTATGGATTGCAGAGACCACGGAATCGAGTAAGATCGAGGATCGACTGTTGCACATAATTAGCGGGTTCACTATTATGTATATTTAGGTACATGCTACAAGCATCGTTTGTAGAATTAAGATTTTTCTAAATTTTAATTTTCAGCGTAACACTTTTCTGCTCTCACACACAGTATTCCCTCTTGACATAACCCTTCGATGCACGATTTATGCTTCTTAGCTTGAACACGGATGTTTCGCGAAAAATCACGAAATTATTGATCATGCGTTCGAGTCCGATTTCGATAGCGTTTTCGTCGAAACGCGTCCGAGAGTTTCATGTGTGCAACGGTCTCGCAGTCGTCGACCGACTGCCGATGTTCGCGCGATCACTTTAATCGATTTTTCCATCGGTAGATCGATCGATCTCTCGACAGACGAAACTGACAGGTACCAAAAATCATCAAAAAAACAAAAAAGAAGAAATCCGAATTCGCATCAAGATACGAACTACGAAACGTTGCCTCGCGTTAGATCGAGACGGTAATCGGATCGCGTAGCATCGCATCGCGATCGATCAACGAACGAACATCGATGATCCACGGGAACGAAAAAGTCCTCTCACAATCATCGACTATAATACGCGCGCATTGCACCGGGTCTGCGTTTTTCCATTGTCCGCGATTTTCACGAATTTTCCAGAGATAGCTGCTAATCTACGCGTGAACGGAGATCCATCGATGCTTGCATGATTTCGTAGGATCCAGAATGAGTGTCCGGCGCGATCGTGACGTTGCTCGATCGAATTTCGAAGATCGATCCTTTGCAGGGGATCGGAATCAAGACCGGAAAATCGACACGGAAAGGTTACACGGTCGAAGGTAAAACGTTCGCCGATCTTCGCGTCGATGTTGGGAACACTGGCGCGATCCAGATACGATAATAATCGCGGAGGATCGATCGTTGATCGATCGGATCGGTCGCCGGGCAGATTCGCTGCGATTCATTCCTAGTAGAAGGATCGATGCGTCGATCCGCGATCAACGAAACGATTCTCCCGATTTTCGCGTGGAATCGATTTCGAACTTTGACCTCGGTTGTCGAACGAATTCTCGGCGAACTGTCTGCACGATCATTGTCTTGTTCGATCAGATTCGTCGAACCTGCTGGCGCGATGCTGTCCGGATTGCTCGAGGCCCACTGTTGAACGAGAACCATTGAAATAACGACAAAACACTAGCAACTTAGCACTTCCTAGCAAATTAATATTTATTAACAGGAACACCGCTTCGACGATTCTATCCTCCATTCGTGTTGCCGGCGAACGCGTCCTTTGTCGGTCCTTCGAACTCGTTTGGCCGAGCTGTATAAACGATCCTTCGTAATGATCGCACGTCGATTATTAATTACGTTACGTCGTGTATTAATCGCATTAATCGCCCTGGTCCTCAAGATCTTCAATTTTTATCAAATCTCCGATGCAATCTCGGTGTCGAGGACTCGCGAACCGACGAGTTCGTACTCTCGGTGATTTCGCGCATGCACAGGGTGACGGATAATTTACGGTGCGAAGGGAAATTTACGAACCTGTTCGCTCTATCATCGGAAGAAATGGTCGAGGGATCGGCTTCGCGGAACACACCGTTCGGGGATCGATTACTTTGGATCGTTCCTGCTGGTCATTTTTTTTCAATTCAATGTACACGGAGTTTCCAGCTGTGCCGTGGATTGCGAATGTTCTGTGCGACAGTGAAAATGCGCGAAACGTGGGAAAAGAGAGAGAGAGAGAGAGAGAGAGAGAGAGAGAGAGAGAGAGAGAGAGAGAGATGAAACTGCGACGTGTTCTATTTTTCGACAAAGATGTAGTTACTTAACGATCCCTAGCGATTAATCAATCCGTTTTTGGTGCGAGTGTGAGAAAGCGGTGGAATACGTAAGAGAACCGGGTGGTGAACAGACAAAAAACAATTATAGAAACGTACATGTATAGGTAACTTAAACACTTCGTGCTTATATTCTGTTTCCTCTTCGTTTCTTCTGTTCGTTTTTTTTTCTTTTTTTTCTCTTTTTTAATTTCGTAATTTAGTCGTAACACCACTGCTATTATTAATATTATACTTTTATCATATAGGACGTATACGTTAATCCATTGTCACATACGATCGGCTGGCCGTTGTTATACGTGTTGTTCGCTCTTATTCTCCTTTGGCCGATGAAGATAAGAACGGTTCGGGAAAGCGCGGTGGAGTCGCGCGAATGGATTCAATGATACCTAACAAAAAAGAAAAAGAAGATCATTTTACACCGCGTATAGAACAACTCTGACCGAGCTCCGATTTATTGTCCTTTTTTCTTTCACGGCACCCACGCAATTCGTAAACGATCGCTTGCTTACGGCTAAGAGATACACGCGTGTACTCGTTCGTTAACATTTCCTAAGAACCGCGGGAAAGGAATCGATTTTTCCGCAAAAATTCAATTTCTTCTCCCGTATCTTCTTATCCCGTAGTTGTATTTATATCGCTTTCAGTCGATTTCGCCAATGTTCCCCCATGAGAGTTCTTTTATTCCAGGATGTAAAAAATGTAGATTCTTTCTTGTACACTTATATCCTGTCCAGTTTGTTATATACATACATACATACATACATACATACATACATACATACATACACACATACGTATACATACATATACATATATATATATAATATACATATTATAATTAGTAAATATTTTTATCATTTTACTAGATATTAATTACTTTCTTGAAATGACGATTTAGTGTTCAGTGTTTCGTGCTCTTGCTCACACAATGTATTCTCGGTAATCTTCTAGCGACAAGTTCGCTCCTCCACCGGAAATATTCAACGACGCGCGATTCCTTCTGCTCGTACGTTTGCTGCAAAATTCTCGCGGGACATCATCCGGCCGAGATATACAGGATGTCCCAAAAATGACTCGCAATCCGAAAGTGGCGGGTTCCTCGGGTCATTCGAAGCAACTTTTTCCTTTACAAAAATGTTCTCCGAGGCACCGTTAACGAGTTATTAACGAAAAATAGTGACCAATGAGAGGCGAGCTCGGCTGGCGCGAGGCGACCGTGCCAATGAGCGGAACTATGCTTCGTACGCTGGTTGGCTGGGCCGCCTCGCGTCAGTCGTACTCGATTCTTATTGGTCACTGTTTTTCGTTGATAACTCGTTAACGGTGCCTCGGAGAACATTTTTGTAAAGAAAGAAGTTGCTTCAAATGATCCGAGGAACCCGCCGCTTCCGGATTGCGAGACATTTTTGGGACACTCTGTAGATCCGTGATCCGGGACCGGAAGAATCCGGAGCGCGATTATATGATCATTGAATTCACGTCGCCGTTCGTCACCGATCGCGCCAACGATCGCGCCGCCGTCACGCGAACGAGACAGTTCCGCGCCGAAATCGCTTGCGAAGTCGCAACGGGGCCGCAGACGGTTTTGCGCGCGAAAGCGACGGAGAGAAACAGGAGGAGAGTAAAAGAAAGCGACAGTCAGCTATAGAATCAGTCGCGCGCGTCCGATGGGAACGCGCACGATGGGAGCCGCGCGACGCAAGCAACGATCACGCTCCCATTTCTCGATCCTTCGATTCGTCGATCTTTCAGCCACCGTGCAACAATTAAACGCCCACACGCAGCAGTCGCAATAGTGCAATAACGCGCGGCGATGTATCGTGGCGTGTTTCCATCGATCGGTGCCGAGCTCGTCGGATTCGGCGCGACGAGCTCCGCGCGAGCGCGCGCGCGCGCGTGATCCGTCGATCGACGGCATTATTAAAATCGATTTTAATCGCGAACGATCCGACGCGATCGTTCGGATTGCCGCGCGCGGCGGCTATGCCGCGGAGGAGCGAAGTCAAAGCTTCGCGGTGATTACGCGAATGGTACCGTAGGATTAAGTAGAATATTTTTAGAGAGCCAACGCGCATGGAGTTTCTAATAATCCATTTGTAATTTCGACGCTCAACGTTTTCGAACATATATTTAATCTCGTTGGAAACGTCGCCGAGCGGATCGATCGGAGATCGATCCACCGGCCCCCGTTCCGGGATGCAATAATTAACTCGAGAATCACGAACGTTTTTGCCCTTCATTCCTAACACTTTATCGATGAGAATATCCCTTTTTTTATCGAAATATACACACGAATAAAATAAAATAAAATAAAATAAAATACTTGACACACGATCGTTTTATCGAATATATTGTATTCCTCGTTCTTCGATTGTCACTATTTAAATAATCTTCGAAACGCTTCGTCGTCTACGAACGAAATCACGAATTTACGGGTCCCGCGTTCCGAGGGGACACCGCTTCGTTACGCGCATTCTTGTAAACCATCCCCTCCGAAACTTCGGGCCAATCCCCAGTCCTTTAATTTAACCATATTCGATCCCATTAATCTCGGCTTCGTCGGCGAATGGTATCCTCGAATTCTTCTCCCCTCCCCCCCCCCCCTCGCCGTTCGCCGAAAGAATTTCTTGTTAACGAGGCGTGTCTGTCGACGTTCGCGCCCGGAGGAACGGTGTCTCCGATTGTTCATTAGCGTAAGCTGTTCTTCGATCGTTTCTAGAAGAAAAAGTACACCGTAGGGTCTCCTCTGTCGAGAGGGAGCGGGGGGGAGGCGTGGGAGGCGAAGAAACCTCGCGTTTTCATTCGACTGATTCTAAGCTGGCCACGTGCAAAAGAAAACGGGAGAAACGAGAAGCAAAAAGAAAAGAAAGGAGAAAAAAGACAAGAACGATCGATCGGACCCGCCTGACGATAGATAGACAAATGACGTAGAATGTAATTGCGTCGACAATGCGCGCCGACGTCGCGACGATTTTTACGTCCCTCGGCGTTCGCGGCTCGTCCCGCTGCCGGGGGGCACACACCCCCACTTTACAACCGTAAGTGTACCTATAAGCGTATAATTAACGTGTAAGCATATAATTATACGTACGTTACATGAAGCGAGAAAGAAAGAAGCAAAGGAAACACGATACGACGCATAACACACACGCGCACGCTCTCTCGTCACCGACTTTTTACCCGCGGATTCTCTCCGCGACGCTGAAGAAACGCGGTTTCTGTTCCACCTCAGGTAGCGAGTTTCGGCGGAACGACGATCAAATGAGGCGGCGACGACGACGACGATTACGATGACGATTACGATGACGTTGACGACGACGACGACGACGATTACGATGACGACGACGGCGCGGCGGTAGAGTTTCTAGGCTAATCGTTTACTACAGTTACGAAGAATGTCGCTACTTATAGTGTTACCACTTCGATTATTCAATAAAACGTGACGTTCCGACGGTGATCGCTGTCGCACCCATATGCGTATTTTGTACTTGCGTCCGTTCGCGAGGGTGAGTTGTCCGATTCGGACGACGGTCCCCCGCGGCGAACGTTTCAAACGCGTCCGTCGAACACCGACGATGACGCGCGATGATCGACGCTCGACGATCGTTCGGCAACCCGTTCGAACGTTCCAGGGTGGCGACAGCTAGGATTTTTGCCCCCGTTGCTAATCGATTTCTGTACGAACGCGCACGCTTCCTCTTTGTACGACACGTGTCGGGGAAATTTAGGTAACTCACCGATGCAGATTTACTTTCTCCCCTGCATGTCGCACCGATCGCGCCTCGACTCGCATACTTTCTTTCCGATAAAAGAACGTAGGAGAGTTTTCGATATCATTAATCAGATAAAACGGTATATAAGACAATATTGTGGAATGTCGTTTAGAATTTCGTTGCATTTTTATTAGGGAAATTGTATAATTGTATGCTTAGAGAGAGAGAGAGAGAGAAAGAGAGAGAGAGAGAGAGAGAGAGGAATTATAAAATTATGCACTCTGAATCTTCGAAGAAACTGGAAACAAATAAATACGAATTTCTTTCACCGATTAAATGTATGCCCGACCTATTTTGATCACCGATCGACCTCTGTGTGCACCTGTTATCGGGACACTTGCGAGATCTCAAGCATCGTTCGCGATCGCCGATGCAAACAGACGATGGAGGTTTGTTACAGTGTTTTGGACATTACTGTAATTAGCCTGCGGAACGTTAAAAGTTATGCGAATGCTTAATATATCGATCGGGGAGCCGCGTTCCACGCCGTAAAAATGGCGCGTCTCGTGTTCACGATTTCCATGCGCAAATAGCCACACGTTCTGTCGCTCTTTTCTAACGACGATCGTGCAATATCGTCGATCAACGATCGAACGGTTGCGTCATAACGCAGCAAACAACGTTCTAGGTTACTGAAAAATCTTCGATCCTAGTTCCCTTCACGTGGATCGGGCGAAAACCAGGATCAGGTAAGGATCAAGCATTTCGAGAAAGCATTTTAACGCTGCGTAAGTCCTGTCGCTTTCGTTCTAAGCACAATTTTATCAATTTTTTTACTACATTTTTATGCACATTTGTTTTACACATTTGACTGCCATTGTCCCTTATAGGTAATTCTATTCTTTTATCAGATTTAGAAACGAACTGGTTTCGAGAGGACTAAATTTGATCGAGATTTGATCAATTCCTTCGCTGAAGTATTTTGAAGTTGCGCGATTTTTTGAGAATATGGCAGGTAATCTTGCATCTGATATCTTTATATCTTCGATATAAATGAATTGTAAATGAAATAAAATCAAGGATATAAATGAAGTCAATTAAATGAAAAATGCGGAGGAAAATTGCATTAAATATGATTTATACGTAATTGTGAAACCAAATACAGTAAATTCTCTCCGATTTTTCTTCAGCTTCTGAACAAAAATAGACAATTTGAGAGAAAGGAGAATAATCGTATCTTCTCTCCCCAAATTGTCTATTTTTGTTCAGAAGCTGAAGGAAAATTGGGGAGAATTTGCTATAACGTGTAATAATAGTGATCAGTGGTAAGAAGTCAGCTAGACATTTCATCCTCGACTTAATCAATTCTTCAATCTTCATCCCTTATTACAAACGCCAACTAA